CCCCCCCCGCCCACAACTCCACTAGTGTGGTTCCTTCCTGAAAGTTACCATTCTGCCACACATTCAAACATTCCTATCTTCTCCCTGCCCCACTGGGTCAAACTGCATTATCACCCCCTCTTCACATTGTCTACCCTTCCTGTCTGCCCCCACCTCCCACGGCTCATTCCAGGAAGATACGATCTCTCCAAACACAATACACCCAGTTACCCCCTACTCCTATGGGTTATTCTTGGAAGATACCATATTCCTTCCTGTCTCCCCTCCAACACCCACTGTCAGTGTGACTCATTCCTGGGAGGTACCATCCTGCCACACAATCCAAGTTTCCCATCTCTCCCCTACCCTCTGGGTCATTTGGGGATCATACCACCCCCTCTGTACAACATCCACCCTTCTTGTGTTCCCACTCTTTCACTAGTGTGACTCATTCCTGGAAGATACCATCTCTCCAAATTTAATTGACCCTGTCCCCATTTCCACTATGGGTCATTCCTTGAAAGTATCATCTCACCATACCTCCACCCTTCTTGTTGCCTCCCAATCACCACCACCTGTGTGGTTTATTCCAAAAAGATACCATTTATCCAAACTTAATGCCTTGTCTCTCCCATTCTTAATTCCTAGAAGATACTATCCGACTACACCTCTACCATTCCTGTCTTCCCCCAGCACTACCATTGTGACTCATTCCTGGAAAGTATCATCTCACCATCCATACCCACTACATGTCTCCCCACTCCACCACCTGTGTGCCTCATTCCTAGAACACACCATTCTACCAAACCATATAAGCTTTTATTCTCACCCATACTGCTCTGGGTTGTTTGGGGATGACACCACCACCTCCCCACAGCATGAACTATTATTGTCTCCACACCCCCAACCACCATCACCGTCAGTGTGGCTCATTCCTGGAAGAAACCATTCTTCCAAACTATCCAACCTTTGTATCTCCTCCTAAGCTTCTGGGTTATTTTAGGAAAGTACCAACTTCTCTTCACAACTACCCTTCTTATACTCCCCTCCCCATCAACCCTGTTGCTCAGTCCTGAAAGATATCATCTCTCCAACCTAATCCTGTGGGTTCCCCCTGCCCCTGTGAGTCATTCTTGGAAGATGCCATTCCCCCACACTTTCATATTTCCTGTCTCCCTCCACCACCATCAATGTGGCTCATTTCTAGTCAAATCATTCAACCCTACCTCTCTTGGTCATTTTGGGATGATACCACCCTCTCCTTCTACAACATCTCCCCTTCTTGTCTCTCCTCAATCACTACTACCTGTGAGGCTCAGTATTGGAAGATACCATCTCTCCAAACCTAATCACCCTGCCTCTCCCTACTATGGGTCATTCTTAGAAGATATTATACCTACAACATCCACTTTTCTTGTCCCCCACCCCCCCCACTCCAGCACAGCCAGTGTGACTTATTCTTAGAAGATCCCACCCTGCTAAACAATAACTGGAAGATACCATTCCCCCATTCTATCAGTCCGTCCTCTCTCCACCTAATCTCTGTAGGTCATTCTCAGATGATACAATCCTCCCACACCATCCACCCTTTTTGGTCCCCATCTCCCCCTGTCCCTATGGGTCATTCCTAGAACACCACCGCTCCTCCATTGTCTATCCTTTTCTTTTTCCCCTCTTGCCTTGTGGGGAATTTCTGGAAGATATTATTCCCCACCACCACCATCACCACCACCACCACTACCAGTCTGTCCGACCTTCCCTGTGAGTCATTCTTAGATAATACCATCACTCCCTACACACACACACACACACACACACACACACACACACACACACCATCATCCCTGTGGATTATTCTCGGAAGATACCATCCCCACCACACCATCATGTCTCTCTCCTGCCTAGTGGCTCGTTCCTGGCAGACACCATCCCCCTAACTCCATCCACTCTTCCTTTCTCCCCCAGTCTTGTGAGTCATACTAGAAGATACCATCACTCCACTATCCACCCTTTCTGTCTTTCTCCTGTCCATCTGGGTCATTCCTGGAAGTCATCATACTCCTACACCATCAGCCCTGTCTTGTCCCTGTGACTCATTCCTAGTTGATGCACTAACTCATTTAGTTTTAGCTTAATGACTGCTTCCTCTTACCCTCAGATCATGCAAGATTCCCCCGTTATAGGCACTCTCCTGGTATTATGTAATTATGTGTTCAAGGTCAGTCTTGCTTGCTAGAAGAATATAAACTCTATGACGGTAGGAGCTCTTCTTAAGAAGTTCACCCTCAGACGGGCTCGGTGGCTCAGCCTGTAATCCCGTGCCTTTGGGAGGCTGAGGTGAGTGGATTGCCTGAGCCCGCGGGTTCGAGACCTGCCTGGGCAACTTGGCGAGACCTCATCTCTACAACAAATCAAAAAACTAGCCGGGTGTGGTAGCGCGCGCCTGTAGTTCCAGCTACCTGGAAGGCTGAGGCGGAAGGATCGCCGGCGCCCAGCAGGCGAGGCTGCGGTGGCCGGGAGTGG